TCTCTTTCATTGTTGATAGACAGTTCAAACTCATGCAGCAAACCAAATCAACCTTGTAAGACGCCGTCACAGTGTTCTGATTTTACTCAGAATTTCAAAATTGAGTCATTCAAATGGTGTTGTGGGTGAATTTGAGGGTGTGGTGGACACTTGAGAAGAAACAAGTGCAATAATGGTGCCAAGTGATTATTGATATTCCTACAAACTGAGAATTGAGGCATGGAGTATGGTGGGGCAGTTTGGGAGTGGTTTGGGGTTCTCAAACCTAAAAGGGCTGCCCGCATGAAAAAACCGGCATAAAAAACCCAAAAATTCATATGGGTTCATGCGGGTTTTTTCATCTGGGTTTTCATCCGGGTTTTTGATGTTTGTGTACCACTAATGTTGTGTTTGATCTGTTTTTGAGTCTGAATTTATTCATGTTGAGCTAGATCAGTGATGTGTACAAATTAAAAAACACACCAAATGGAAAGAAACCAACTGAATTTCATGAGCATTGCTGTTGTAAGTCAGTTGAGAGCCATCAATTGATTTTTCATTTGAGTTAGAGTGTTTCAAGTTTGAATTCATCCAATTTGGGGTGTAACCTGACCTCACCTTATATTGATGTGGTACTTACTGCAACACAGTGTGTGATGCTGGTTTTTGTTGTGTGTTGCAGATTAATGCACCACAAAACATGCATGTTGTGGTGCAGTGCGTTGCTGGTACAGGGTTGGTTGCATTGACCAAATACATCCAAGCATATCACTGTGTATCTCAATTTTGTGACATCTTGTTTGCAAAGAATTCTGTCAGGTTGGGGTCACCAAGGGCTGTGCCCACTGCTGAAGTGAGGTTTGAGTATATATGTATATGTATGTAATTGTGGTTGGGTCATGCTCTCGGGGGTTTGAAGTGTTTGGGGTTATATGTGACATGTCGGCATCAGCCGTTGAAGCGGTTCCCGCCACCATAAATTGCTAGTTCACAAAATCTTTCAAGGATTTTTTGATGTGAAGAATATTTTGGTAACCCCAAACGCTTTATGGGAGTGTAGGGAGAGATTATGAGCAGCCATGCGGTAGAGATATCATTGGAATGGATTGATAGTCTTTCCATCAAAGGGTGCTCTGTGGATTCTGTCTTTCTTTGCACAAATTGTGACAAGTTCAGTTAACATAGTGTTAGTCCTTCTCAATCTGACAACCTAACACGGCCTTTCATGACCCACAATTTTTCTATACCGTAAGGGTAATCTATTGCCAGATGACTTTATTTTGACTAGCCAGTGGTCAGAAGAGTTACAGAACATTTGTTTTTTTGCAAAATTGTACTGGGCCTCAAATTCTATAAGCTTGAGTATAAGTGTGAGATACATAATTTGGGGGGATGGTGTCCAAAAAGTGTAATTATTTGGTGATAATAGGAGTGTTGAAGTGCAGGTGCCAAGTAATCAGTGTAGCACCCACTGCTAAATGGCTATACTGCTCTATAGACAGAAAGATAAAGTAATTGCAGTGGTATGTGTTGTGGCATTAGAGGAAGGAGAGATGATAGCTACAAGCTTACAATAGTGACAACAGTATTGTATGAAGTGAGAATGCTGATCATGTTTCAAGTTAAAAAAGTACCACATATTGGGGGACAACCCAAAATGAGTATCTGTCAATCAGACAAAGCAATACCTCATGTACTCTAACGTTGAAACCATTGGGGGGTTAGGGGTTAGGCTTAGGGCAAGGATATGTGCACCCCTCTCCAAGCGTATGTGACATTACCTCTGCTTCAAACCACCATTTTTCCTCTCAATCCTGGTTCTTGCCACCTTTAGAACTCACACACAGTATGGCATCCATATCATACCATACCCTACCCCAATCCTTTCCTGTTGCTTTCTGCCAGCAACAAAAATTTATCATCCCTCCCTCAGATTGCACCAATTTATTTTTGGTTGCCTAAACTGTGTAATATACTTGGGCTAGCTTTCTAATGTTTTACTCATAATGTATAAAGTGATCTCCATTAAGTTATGAAATACATTCTACTGGATTAACCTACAAACAAATTTTAACAAAGCTTTCCTGCTTATGTAGATTGAGTTAAGTTGAGCCCATATTATGACTGCGGCGCCTGCCACCCAATTTGTCTAGTCTAATCATCTTATCATCATCTCTTAAATCTAATCAATATGTCTGATTCATCTTCAATCTCAGAAAACTTATGTGATCAATTCAGTGCCTTTCATCTTAGGGACTATGATTGTACTAAACCATTAGATATCTACAAGAGTCCACCTACACATCTTACACATGAAGCTTCGGTTCAAACTGATGCTAAATTTGATCACTTTGTCTACAGAGAGGTTACTAGATGTTTGAGGGAAGCCACAATTGTGAAATTAGATTATGATCTATTTCATGTTTCATACTTGTTATCAGTGAAAAACCAATCAACAGACCTCAAACTTAGTTTACAAACAACAATTGCTAGTTTCAAACCTCCAAATCCTCCACCAACCGTCTCAAGTCATCAAAGATTACTTGGAATGGCTGAGTATCTATTAAATTTAATTGAAAATTATGAAAAGAACCCATCACTTGATCTTCCTACACCTTTCTGTCTTAGATTTCCTACTTGAAATCATGGAAAAACTTATTGATGATAATAAAAAGAAGATGAAAAGAGTCATGTATGAAAAGACAGTCATTTTTCTTGATGAGACCAAAAGATACCAATGGTCCTCTTCTTTTCATTATCTTCAATAAGTTTTTCTAATGATGTCAAGGTAGGATATCTAAGACAGAAAGGTACAGGAAGATCAAGTGATGGGTTCTTTTCATAATTTTCAATTAAATTTAATAGATACTCAGCCATTCCAAGTAATCTTTGATGACTTGAGACGGTTGGTGGAGGATTTGGAGGTTTGAAACTAGCAATTGTTGTTTGTTAACTAAGTTTGAGGTCTGTTGATTGGTTTTTCACTGACACTACACAAAATGTCATCTTTACCGGGCGGTAAAGAAAACTACTGACATAGAAAAGTCCTGAGGCAACAGGAAGAGAGCTAAAAATCTGAAAAAATATGCACCTTGTTCCTAGATGTTGTGGCGTCATGACAAGTATTTTTTTGTATTTAGCATCAGTTTGAACCCAATCTTGATGTTTGAGATGTTCAG